TCAAGGTTATTGTGCAATATTCCTTATATAAATAGATCAATTTTATTGTTAAGAGGAGAACTTTTTATTTGTGAATAAACGTTAGGTGAGAAAGATCTTAGTTCTCACACGGGAACCTAACACCGATTATATAGGTAAAACAATTAGACAAATATCAAGAAGATTCAAAGAACACAGTACATCATTCAACAATCCACAACTCCACACTCATCCTCACCCAACCTCCAACACCATCAATTCAACCGCAAAACAACGACCGGGTACAAAATCAGATATAGCAGCAAAAGTTACTGGATATAATTAATGATGATCAATTAACTTACGAATGTATTAAAAATCTTGATGCACAATCACAACAACAACAGCAAAAACCTAATACAATTGCACTAATATCACCTAGTCTGGTCAAAAATCAAGAAAAGTCACCATTTTATACAAGACAGCTCGAAACAGGAAATAAAATTGAATTAACCAAATGGCATGTAATTAGCATTGACATTCGACCAAAACGACTTTTAATTAAAGAGTCCATTGCTATAAAAAGTCTACAACCTAGTCTAAATCGAACAGTTGCATCTACATCATTATATGCATATCCTGAAGGTATACCTAAATACTTTATTCCGGAACCGGGAGGTTACAGACAATCATCCTCACCATTTTTATGCATAATAATCTTTCGTTTTTGGACCTTTTGTTTCTAGGTAACTGCATAGAACATACAACTAATCTGAACTACTATACAACTAATAATACTTGTAATTTCTAATTTTTCTTTTGTAATTTTTTCAAAATATTCGTGAAAATGAGTTCATGGGAACTCGAAACGTTGAAGTATGGTAATAATAAAAATATTTCAGAAGCCGTTGTTATAAATACAAGTAATAATATGCCTCTTACAAGATATAATTCTGTTTTCATCATAAGTTTTTACTCGTCAGACAGGAACGATACAATGTCTCTGCATTTCACATCTGCGTACAATACATAACGTGAATATCACTTATGATTTTTGAATCTTTAAGGAGAGAGAGTGAATATTATTTGATCGATCAACAGCGTTTTTGACCTATCATTTTCATTCATTCCTGAAAGCACAAATTCTACATGAGAACGACTTTTTTTTGTACATTATTTTTGTACGAAAAACTATATTTGATGATTGAAAAATTGAATGAAACAAAAATGATTTGTCACCGGTTTGCATTGCGGTTTATGTTCCATATTGAGCTGTGAATAGATCATTAGTTGAAACGTTCAGCGATATGTTAGGGCAACTCTCTTTCGTTTTGGCAATTTACTTGCAGTTTATATAGTTCTCGATGTGATATCAGATTTTTCAATGGTAATCTGACATTGTACAATTAAAACTAATCTCTGCTAAGCTAGTGGCTCCGAAATGCGATGTTTATTCAAATACCGACAGTAGCGATCATTCAGTTGTAATTAATTATACTTAAATTGTTTCACCTATGCAGAGAGATATGTTAGTTTAGATAATTTGTTGTTAAACTAGTGTGTACATAATATTGTGCTCATTGCCAGTGAAGAAAGCAAATAAACACATCTATAACACATTCAATTTGTACTGCATAAGGGATTAAATTAATATGACTAGGGAAAATTTTTCTTCTACATTATAAAATCAAAGGCACATGTACATTTGACTGATAAACGTGATTTAAAACGTGACTGCAGATTGTTAAGTGTTCGAAAGAGAAAGAAAAACAACCTATAGAAATCAATTGTTCTGTTTATAAAACAGAAACTTTATACAAATGCACATTAATCAGACATGCTATATGTAAGTTCAAGGCCAATATTTTTCTTCTCAGTTAAATTTTTTTCTCTTTACGTAACTATAGAAAAGACTCACATATCGTTTTCTCGTATTTCAGGTTTTTTCTTTCTATCTTTATTGAAAAAACCTAATTATATAAATATTGTTGCAGAACAACTATTACTAGAATTTTTAAACAAGAAATTTTTTGATTATTTAAAACAATAATAATGTCCCAAGCCAATAAAGAATCAACTGGCGGTACCCTTGGCCAACATTCAAATGATTCGGTTGGTCAAGAAATGGGTAGTACTAAACCAACTGGATCCGTTCGAACAAGCGATGGATCAAGTACAGAAGGTAATCGAGAATCGACCGGTGGTACAATGGGACATGTAGCTACTAGTGGTTCATCAACAGTGAGTGCTCCTCATCAAGAACAGCAAGGCGGTAGTGCTGGATCAAGCGGAAGTCAAAGTGTATCAAATAATCAAACAGGAAAAACAGCCTCTTCATAAATTATACAAGGACATGGGAGCTGGCAGACAGTCAATGTTAATACAGAACTTTATTAAACGCATACGAAGCAAGTTGACATACTTCTCATTTGTATTTTTTTTGTATTTTGTGTAAGTACTCAAGCTTTTATATTTAGTTCAGCTTTACTGGAATAAACAGAAAAACCTATAATCCTTACGTTGTTTTATCAGGAAAAAGAATTTAAATAACACTTACAAAGATTCTTTGATAGTAACAATATATCACCTCTATAGAATGATAGAAAGGTAATGTACAAGCTATTTGACAAAAAATGGACTATTTAAATAAACCATATTCTTTTGTACTGCATTTTTCAAATAAGTCAGTTGAAAACTGCTAATAAAATTTAATTAAGCTGGAATCTGAATCATGAAGGAACGATGATTGTGATACTGTTCTGTTAATTAAAAACGCATGGTATACTGCACAAGAAATATAAACATTTGTTCTTGAAGCGAGTTGATCATATCTGTGTAAGGCGCTCCAAATTCGAAGTTACAGTGAAATTCGCAATCCAATCTTGTTGCATATCCCTAGACGCAGAATTGTACGCTGATTCTGAATATTACCTTTAAAATTCGATCAACTTGCGTCTTCGTTGAGAAAAGCGAAAAAAACGAAAAAACGTGTTTTTTTGCCAAAAACGGCTAATTTTGTAAAAATCACTTTATATTTTGTTACAACAACTATTTGGAACCTTCAGAGTTAGTTATTCTGACTCATCGTGAAAAACTGCATCGATCTACATAAGTTTTAAAATTTTCCAATGAATAAAAGTTATCCACAAATCCACACGGATCGATATAATAATGCGTTTTACCTCGACCCAGGAAAAATGCCATCCGATTTTTTTCGTAATAGATACAAACTTAATTCTTTCGCCATTCGA